CCAATGGAGAGGTCCTCTTGTTGGGCAGTGTTTGATCATTATGGGCTGAGAGGTTAAGTGTAAGACCATTGAGGGTAATACCTGATGGGCTAATCTTGCATCTGCCCATAGTCCCTGGGTTTTTATAAGGAGGCTTGGCCCAGGGACCACTTAGTGTAAGTGTTGGGCCCATTAAGAGCCCATGGTGATGGACTCAGGGGTTCACAGCCCATAACATTGATTTCGGCCAGGCCTTATAACAGAGGCTAGGCTGAACCCATGTGGCTGATGTGTAGATTAATGTTTGGGTCCCACGCCATACAAGGAAGCCCAACTGGGCAACAGTTTGGAAGGTTAATGAGCACATAGACTTATTGGGCCTAATGCCCATTTCGAACTGGTCTAATTTGATTAGTTAAAGAAGGGGGCGGATCTGGGATTTGAATCAGTAGATAGAATAGGGAGTTGTCCTTATCCACTCAGAGAGTCTAGATCCAAATAGAGATTTGGATTTGGAAAGCTCCTAATGAGATTAAGAGGGCTGATCTAATCTGCAGATAAGATAAGGGTTTATCCTTATCTCTTAAAGAGAACTTCTTATCCAAATACAGATTTTGGATTAGGAAACTCCTAATGAGATTAAGAGCTCTCTTTAAGGCTATAAAAAGGAGGAGGGGGCGAACCATTCAAAACAACATCAGATCAGATTTCAGATCACAGAAAGAGAGAAGACAACTACAGTAAGACTGCGACATCTTCTGCTCTTGCGCCCTCCTCCTACTACCGCCATTGCCAGTTCGATCTCCACCGTAGGAGCGATCAAGAAAGGTTCTTGATATCAGCCTTTGGAGAAAGGCTGATTTGAAGTCGCGCTCACAGACTCCATCAAATTCTTGCTGAAGGATTCGGTTCTCGGGAAGAACATTGTTGATTCTGCTCCACCCTACATTGTCATCTTTAGTGGGAGCAGTCTTTGGAGATTTCTTTGGGCGTGAACACCTTCATTGGGAGTTACTGCTACTCTTTATCAGGTATATCCCTCTCCTACCTTTGGTTTCAGATCTGGTTCGGTTCTTGGTTCAAGATTGATCATTGAAAATGTAGATTTTCTAAAACAGGGAATGTGATTCCCAGATGGGAGAGAGAGAAATTCTTGAAAATGGCCATCCATATGATGGATCTCTCATCCCTTCACCTAGGCATTCAATGGTTAAGACAGCTAGGATCCGTGGTCTATGACTGGGTCCGTCTCACCATGGACTTCACATAAGGAAATTCTACAGTCCATCTACAAGGGCAAACATGCAAGGGCCAAAGGCCCATCAGTCTTGCAACACTAACAAAGCAAAGAGGAGATCCAGATCAGCCCATATTCATGCACATGGACTCAAATTTTCCTACTTAGATCTGCAATCAAATTTTCCTACATTAGACCTTGAGGCCAAGGTTGCTCTAAAGGGGGGATTGTCAAGACTGCTGGAACAGACCAACAGAAGGCAGTTAATCAGTTTTACAAGAGGAACAGAAGGCAGTTAATCAGTTTTACAAGAGGAGGCCACATCAGCACAACTAACCATCCACTTGTAACAACAACTGCCATCCACTTGTAACAACTGTAACAATCAAGATTGTAAAACTATAAGTAGTAGAGCAGAAAAGGAACAAGGGAATGACTCTTTCAGCATTAAACACACACACACTCTCTCTCTCTCTCTCTCCTTCCAAGAATTCAGGAGGTTGGCCCCTCGAAGAGCCCTCAGTTAGGCAGGTTCCTAACATGTAACCTGTTGATTGTATCAATTGTATGGTGTGTATAATTAAAGTTTTGTCTGCCAGAAGGCCAATGTACATACCACCTTACCCAAAGTGCAGGGCCTTAGTCTCATGCTTTTCTAGTGTCCCTTGAAAATGTGGGAATGCGGATGCCATTTTCATATCCATCCTGTTGTTCTATTATTTTTGTGCAGTTTGAGATTTAGGAAAATGGTGAGATGTTTTTTGTCCTTAACCCTTTACCCAATGATGCCCCTTGTAACTACTTACCACGGTTCACAAGATTACATGCCTACATGGTCCATGATGCATTAAATTTGGTTGAAACAGAATAAGTTTTGGACTTATACTAATATTGATTGTTTACAGGGCCAGGGTCTAGGAAGGGCCCTTGTGGAGCAGCTTATTAGGGCTTTGCTGCAGAGAGATATTGGCAATATAACTTTGTTTGCTGATAGTCAAGGTATGCTTTCCAACCCTTTTTGGCAAATTTTATGCAGCAATTGATCAAGTGTATATCAATCAGTACATGATTATTGATATGAAAAAGAAAAAAAATAGAAGAAAGATTTGTGTCCTTCTCGTTTGACAGTTTCTTGCCTAGAAGATGGTGACCTGAAGCACATTTTAGTGCATATGTTCCATGTTTACAATTGTGCTTTGGTAGACCAAGTTTGCACTCTATCATATTGCAACCCTAAATTTCCTCTGAATTGTAGATCTGTCATCAAGGGGTCTATCCTACAGTATAAAGCTGAAGTTTATGGTGTCTACTAACCACCATTGCATGTCTAGGTCCAATATCTTTGGAATGGAAAAGCTTGAGTCTGATCACATCTTGGCCCTTCTCCATTGCAGTTGTGGATTTCTATAGAAATTTAGGGTTCGAACCTGACCCTGAAGGCATTAAAGGCATGTTCTGGTACCCAAGATATTAACTGCCATATTCAACAAATTTTATTGGTGGATTCATGTAGCAGCTATACATGACACATGGAACATGATTGTGGGAGCTCTCCACCTGTATGCAATTCTGTGTTAATTGTGCATACTCTGCAACTTGATGTAATTTATTAACTAGATTGTAATTTTAGTATTTTACTACTCATGCTCGAATATGCGTGTGTTTTCTTTTCTGCTAAATAAAGATCAAATAAGATATGCAGTTTAGTTTAATCGTACATGTACAGCCTTCATTCTTCATACATGCAAATTGGAGCCATAGTGAGTTGACAGATCACTCATGTGAAAATTTGTCACTGTAACATAAAGCAAATTTTAATACAAATTGAATAAAATGACAAAAAGTTAAGTTTTTTGATGCCACACTGTTGAACAGCTTAGGGCATTCTATGCATATTCATTGCTGTTGCATGTATGATGGTAGTGTCATCAATAGGGCAGTATTGGAGTTAACCACTGAAAAGCATGCCATTATCTAGGGTGTAATTTGAACTGATTAGGATGAGGAATAAACCATCTTATCTGTGTGACCGATGGGACTTTTTTTTGGGTAAATTACTTGAGCCTACGCTGAGGTTTTGGTCAATTCTTATACCACCCGTTGGTCAATTCCTGCCCGATAAGTTATACCCCCTTGACCAAATGACTATGGGGGGCTTGTTATTTGTCAATGGTGTATGTGACTGAAACTGCAAACTATAGCGAGCAAGTAAATTAGTAGATAGACCTAAGGGAAGTGTGTCACTGAAACCCATGGTAGGTATAAGTAATTTAGCCTCTTTTTCTCTTAAGCAGTTCAGCATGTGGCTAGTTCGGTAGTTCCTTCATGACAACCCTGCAAAACTACGTCTGTCATGTAGGTCGCGGGATATCTTCTGTCTCAGGAAGGATGCTCTCTTGACATGCGAAATGTTAAGCCCAGAAGAGAAGCCAACCCAGATGGCGCAACTCGGGCCCAGCAGGCCCAAGTCTCAGCCCAGAACACTACACGCATCACGCGTATGGCACCACCCGTTAAATTCGTGTATACCCGACGTCCGCGTAATGGAAAGCAATCATAATCTGTTAAGAATCATGCAAGACGCTCATAGTTGGTTACAAGTTGTTAGCTGGCCATGCATTATATAGGCCTATCAACGAATGCATAAAACAAAATGAATGATTCTCTCTCTCTCTCTCTCTCTTCTATTGTATCTTTAACCTCACGTCCATTTCAGGAGGGTCACCAGAAGCAGAACGGAAGTGGGGACCTATCAACTGGTATTAGAGCCCAGCTGCGATGCCAACCACCAGGTCTTCGTCTGCAGAAGAAAGGACCGATCACATTGAAGTAGAAGTGCGGTAGACCACCAGTGAGTTGAGAGAAATCAAAGAGACCCTCTTCGCTTTGGTAGGTCAGTTCGAACGGATGTCCTCGGCATTGAGACCCACAGATGTTGAAGGATCTAGCAGCAGCGGTGTTAGGAGGGGTGGAGCGTTTCCAGTCAAGGCTGTCAAAATTGATTTTCCTCTTTACTCAGGTGATGATCCTGTTCCTTGGATCTATCGGGCCGAACGCTACTTTGAATCCCACGAGACCCCAGCACACCAGAGAGTCTCAATTGCCGCTATACACATGGATGGTGAGGCTATTATGTGGTACCAATGGTACCGTAAGACCCACGCACAGACCACCTGGTTGGACCTGATCGAAGCCTTACATGTGAGGTTCGGTCCTTCTGGTTATGAAAACTTCAATGAGTCACTCCCGGATGAGACAGACAGGAACAGTGAGGGAGTACCAGAACGAATTTGAACGGTTGGCCACCCGGGTTCATGGCTGGCCGGAGGCTGCTCTGGTGGGATGTTTTATAGGTGGCTTAAGGGAGGACATCAAATCGAAGTGAATACCATGCAGCCGACCACATTGATGGCAGTGGTGGGATTGGCTAAGCTCCAGGAGGAGAGGCTGGACCAACTTAAAAAGCTGGGGAGGCCTATTGGGCCTCAAGCGGGCCCAACCCAGAAGGGACCCTATCCCAAGACTGAGTCGAAACCTGGTCCTCTTCTTCCAACCCCGACCCCAACCACAACTACCCTCAAACCGGTTCCCTTACCTGTTCCACCTAACAAGAGAACTGGAGCACTGACCATCCCTTATCGGAAATTATCCTGGACAGAAATACAGGCCCGTAGGCAAAAAGACTTGTGCTATAATTGCGACAAAAATTCGTTCCTGGTCACAAATGCAAGGCCCAGCATGTGTATCTCCTACAAGTAGAAGGAGAGGATGATTTTGAAACACAAATCGGCGGCCTAGGGGTTCAGCAGAAGGAGGTGGTACCGGAGGTAGAATATTGTGTTATCTCCCTTCAGGCCCTAGCTGGTTACCAGGCCCCAAGAACCATGCGGGTCCAGGGGCAGATATCAGGGAAGAGAGTGGTTATCTTGATTGATAGTGGGAGATCTCTGAATTTCATTACTCCCAGATTAGCCAAACAACTCGGGTTAATGATAAAGCCCGTTTCTCCATTTGTAGTCGACGTGGCTAATGACCACCAAATCACTTGTGAAGGAAGGTGTAAATCGGTTGAATTGAAGATTCAGGGGTACAGCTTTAGAGTGGACCTACATCCGTTAGAATTCATGGGGCAGATGTTGTCTTGGGCATACAATGGTTACAGTTACTGGGCCCCGTGGTTTGTAATTGAGCTTACTTGACAATGCAATTCACCTATGAGGGGAGTTACTACACATTAAAGGGGGTTAAGACCCAACCCATAATCGCTGACAGCTTGGAGGTTATACTTAAGAGCTGCCAACATGACTCTATTCCCTTATTGATGAGCATGGGCTCAATGCCTACTGGGCCCATTGTCTCTCCACTCTCAGGAAACACTAGCCCTTCCCCAAGTCAAACCCAATAGCTCCAGCTACTACTACAAACCTACTTCGACATTTTCCGAGAACCCACTTCATTGCCACCCCCTTGAGCCCATGCCCACCAGATTCCCATCCAACCCGGAGCCCTACCTTCAAAAGTGAGACCCTATCGCTAGCCCCATTATCAGAGAGTAGAAGTGGAGCGTATGGTGACAAAACTGTTAGACAAAGGTTTTATCCCGCGCAACAGCAACCCATTTTCGTCTCCAGTAATTTTGGTAAGAAAGAAAGATGGTAGTTGAAGATTCTGTGCGGACTACAGAGCCTTGAACCACATCACAGTTAAGGACAGATATCCAATACCCCTGATTGAAGAACTATTTGATGAGTTAGGACAAGCTAAATACTTTTCCAAGATGGACCTACGGTCAGGCTACCATCAGATCTGGGTCCACTCGGAGGACATTCACAAAACTGCATTCAGAACTTCGGATGGGCATTTTGAATTTCTAGTGATTCATGAAAGGAATTTTCAAGTTGGGCCTCCTCATTCCAGAGACTCATTAAAGGAATTTTCAAACCTTATCTGTGCCTATTTATGCTTGCTTTCTTTGGTGATATACTTGTGTACAACCCAAGTTGGGCCCCCCATTTGGAACATTTGTAGTGTGTGTTGGGCCTACTACGTCAACACCAATTGTTCGCTAAACCCTCAAAATGTTCATTTGGGCAGACCCAGATCAGTTACTTAGGGCACATCATCTCTAGCAGATAGGTATATATAGACCCAAAGAAGATAGATTGCATGATCACCTAGGCCCGTCCCAGCTCCCCACGGGGCCTCAGGGGGTTCCTTGGGCTAACAGGTTATTGCCGCCGGTTCATAAAGGAGTATGGGTCCTTGCCGCTCCTCTCATGCGGTTGCTGAAGAAGCACTCCTTTGAGTGGGATCAAGAAGCTGAAGAAGCCTTTCAAGCACTCAAGGAAGCCGTAACCACCCCACCTACATTTGCCCTTCCTGATTTCAATCTGGAGTTTATAGTGGAGGCTGACGCCTCAGGTAAAGGTATAGATGCAGTTCTGATGCAGCACGGCCGACCCTTGGCCTACTTCAGCAAGGTTCTCTCTCCTCAGGCTCAAACTAAGTCTACTTACGAGAAGGAGCTTATGGCCATCACTCTGGCGGTTCAGAAATGGAGAGCATATCTCCTGGGCCGAAGGTTTACTGTTAGGACAAACTACCACAACATCAAACACCTACTGGAACAGCGAGTTTTGGGCCCTGACCAGCATAAGTGGGCCTACAAGTTAATGGAGTTTGACTTTACCTCTAATGCGGTGGCGGATGCACTCTCCAGAGCTGATAACTTTCATGTAATGGGCTTGTCACGACTAAGTTACCCTCTGTCTGACCAACTGAAACAAGAAATCCATGATGACCTCATTTAACCCAAATTCGGGTCCAAACCCTTGAGAATTCTGCACAGACTTCTGGGTACACAGTCAAGAATGGCATTCTCTTCTAAAAGGCCGTATGGTGGTGTCGGAAGAGTCCAAGTATCGCCAAGAGTTACTTCCGCTATTCCATAATTTCACCCAAGGAGGTCATTCCACTATTATTGGAAGGGTATGAAACGAATGGTACAAGTGTTTGTTGCCCGATGTACTACTTGCCAGCAACAGAAATATAGCACTCAAACTCCGTCCAGGTTATTGCAACCTCTATCCATCCCAAAGAGTGTGGGAAGAAGTCACCATGGACTTTGTAACTGGATTACCCACATCCCAAGTAAAATCGGTGGTGTTGGTGGTGGTGGACCGACTAAGTAGGCTCACTTTATAGGCCTCTCCCGACCTTACTCAGCAGCCACAGTGGCTCAGGCTTACATTCGGAAAGTGGCCAAACTCTACGGAACACCCCAGTCTATTTTAACAGATCGGGATCCTCTCTTCATGAGTACTTTTTGGAAGGACTATTTCATAGCTCAAGGAGTTCAGATGTTGCATTCCACCAATTACCATCCTCAGACGGATGGATAATCCAAAGTGGTCAACCGCTGCCTGGAAGCATACCTGAGATGTTTTGTGGGTGATAGACCCAAATAATGGGCCAAGTGGCTGCCATGGGTTGAGTATTGGTATAATACCACGTTCCAGATCTTAGCCGGAATGACTCCCTTCAAGGTGCTTTATGGGTGCGAACCTCCTTTTATCTTGCCTTATGAGCCGGGCACTTAGCCGGTAGCTGAGGTCGAGGCACAATTACAGGCAAGTAAGCTCCTCAAATTCCACTTACAACAGGCCCAACAACAAATGAAGTTAGCCTATGATAAGAAACCTCGGGAATTAGAATTCTCTGTTGGGGATTGGGTCTATCTGTGGCTCCAACCTTATAGACAGCATCTCTAGTTCGGAGGTCATCCCAGAAACTATCTCCAAGATACTTCGGCCCATTTCAAGTGGCAGAGCGAATTGGTCTTATCGCCTTCTCCACTTACCTGCAGAATGCAAGTTGCACCCCATATTCCATGTCAGTCTCTTGAAGCGTTGCTTGTCCATTGATGTTATCAGTCCCACCCTCCCTCAATTCACAGAAGCAAGAGAAGTAACGTTCGAACCTCTAGTGGTTAAGGATTTATGTTGGGTTCGAAAGGGCAGCAAGGTCCATAAGTAGGCTCCAATTGTATGGTGTGGTCTGCCTCAAGAAGATGCCACGTGGGAGGATTATGACCAACTTTGGAAGTAATTTCCCACCCTTGACCTTGAGGACAAGGTCATTCTCGAAGAAGGAGGGAATGTTAAGCCCAGAAGAGAAGCCAACCCAGTTGGCGCAAATTGGGCCCAGAAGGCCCAAATTTTAGCCCAGAAAACTACTAGCATCACGCGTATGGCACCACCCATTAAATTAGTGTATACCCGACGTCCACGTGATGGAAAGCAATCATAATCTGTTAAGAATGTTAAGAATCGTGCAGGACAGTCAGTGTTGGTTACAAGTTGTTAACTGGCCATGCACTATATAGCTATATAGGCCTATCAACGAATGCGTAAAATAGAATGAATGATTCTCTCTCTCTCTTTTATTGTCTTCTTCAACCTCACGTCCATTTTAGGAGGGCGAGCTCCCTCGAACCAGCTCACCGGAAGCAGAACGGAAGTGAGGACTTATCAGGAAATATACGAAAAAACAGAAAGCAATTTTATTATTGTATTAATATTGGTTTATTGCTACTTGTGATTGTGAAAACATATTTGGACATAACCTTCTGGCTTGTTTCATTCAACCAACAAAACAATGGGGAATTACGAATGAGAGAGCTCCACCAACAAATTTTCAATACAGCTTGGAGGATGTTCAAACCATCTCATGGTAGAATCTACATTGAAGGACAGCTGAGGAGCTAGAGTATGAGCTGTATGATTGATATGCATGCTGACCCATGCATAATTAGGCATCCATGTTGAATTTTTTGGATGCAAGATCACGCCGTGAGCTTCATAGTTGTCCAGTTTACAGGGGACCACGGTCCGAATGACAATCTGTTTATGTTAAAAATCTTTTCTTTTCCGTGGTTTGCTAAGACATTTATTTTTGGTTATAAAGAGTCAATCAACTGAAACTACAAACTACAAGGAATCTCTCTCGCCTCCCCCAGTCAGTCTACATTGTTTCACCAGCCCTAAGAGTCGGTGGGGGTGCAAATGATTCGATCCTATTTAGTCGAATTTGGATTACTCCTATTCGAATCTTCAAATCGGATAGGATAGGATAATAGGATATGATTAGAAATTGGATTGGATTTGGATCACCCTTATCTGACCCAATATATATATTATTTATTTATTTATAAATATATTTTTTGTATTATACTTTTATAAATATATATATGTATGAAAATAATATAAAATACTTGTATTTTTTGTTTTTATTTTAGGGTAAAATACAAAAAGCTCCCCTGAAGTTTCTGACAATCATAAAAACCTCCTCTATTGTTCCACTTTAGCAAAAACCTCCCTTTGATTTTTAAAGAATATGACAAAAACCTCCCTTCCGTCAATAACCAAGACGGAAAATGTTAAACTGGTAAATCAATTTTTCCCAAATGCCTATTTTACCTTTTTGCGAATGATTTGCATCTGTTTTTACTAAAATACCCCTGTCGACATGTTATCTTCTTCTTCTCCGCTGTCGACCTCTTCACCCTCTTTTCCTATCCCAATTTATCTAGGAGTAACGCAGGATGAAATCTCTCATCCAAACTCCATTCATTCAAAGAGGAACCTCTTTATCCTCTTTTCCTTTCCATTTTTTCATATTATTTCTTTATCGATTTCTTCCTCTTCTTTCAATCTTCCATCCTTGATTGCTGAGTCAATCCATTGAACTATAACAATTTGCCATTCGAGATTTGAGATGTGGGTTGCATACAACTTTGTAATGAACTGTGTGGTTTTCTCATCTATATCTGGTTCACCCAGCCAATGCCCTCTGTCTTCATCACTGCGATGTAGCCACCCCTTGTTTCTTGCTTCGACACCCACATCGTCCCTGTTGTGCGGCTTCTAACACTTGAATATGCTCAAGATGGAGAACAGAGATGACGATTTTCTTACTCTCTTTATCAAATGTGGTTTTGGTACCTATCATAATTAATTACACTTTTTTTTTTTTGAAGAGGAGACTTTTCCTTTAAGCAACCCATCTAGAACACTGAAAAAAACAGAGAAAAGGGGTTAAGGGTCACCAGTGCCATGCCTCGGGAAGAATCGCATTGTAAATACTCGACCACGCAAGTTAACTCATAAAAGCAAGGACACCAAGTAGACAAACTCTAACGTTACATGCCCCTTGGACCGTGTGTTGATGACAAAATGTTTTGGATATTCCTTAGCAATGTAAGCAGTCCTAACCATGGTATTCCCTTAGATTCATTGAAAGGCCAGTCCTTTGATGCCAAATATTTCCATATTGCTCTACAAGCTCAAAATGAAGTTTTGCCATGGGCATCCATTCTCTTGGACCACAAAGATCAGAAAGCACAGTATCTCTTGACCTAGTTTCTGACTTTTTCTCTAATTGTCTAGATGACCTTGTCTTTCCTCTCAATCCACCATATCCAAACATCTCATGCCATTCTCTCTGTAATTTCTTGCTAGCACTAGCAACAACAGTGTTATTGGTGTCTTCGTCATCATCGTCCAAATAATCACTCGATGCCCTACCCCCGCCCCTTCTTGGAAGAGTGATGCAGCGGTGGAGGCAACGCAACCCATGCAAAGGGCAGATGTAGTGGACGACAGAAAGGGTGGAGGAGAGTGAGGGATGTGGCAAGCAGAGAACCTCTAAGGATGTTGTAGACAATAAGGAGGAGGTAGAATTTTTTGTCGCCAATCTGGAGAAGGTCTTGGGAGTCAATCTTGACGGGAGAGTTACTAGGGAGGTGGAGGACACATTCGACGAAGCATCCGTTCTTTCCAACGACTTTGAGGGCGAAGCGGCATCGCTGGAAATCGTAGAAGATGAGGGAGATGTTCATGCCACCGCTAAAGCTAGCGAGGTAGACGTCGACAGTTGATTTCTTGCTGTTCCGGCCAAGGATTATGGAATAGATAGCTTGGCGAGGCTGGCCTCAACATCTCTCTCAAAAAATAGAGAAGGAAGAAGGTTGAAAGAAAGAGGGACACCGCCACACAGGAATGGTCTACATACTTTTCAAATTACCAACATGAGGAACTTGCATTGCACGTGCTTTTGCCTATTGGTGCTATT